ATTCACGTCCTTTCCTTAAATCTCGTGATACTTCTAGAGAAAGTGGAGTCTTGTATATATAAGACCGGCCACAAAGCGACGGGGACGTAATGAGTAATTGAATGTATGCGGACAGAATATTGTTGACCACGTGAGACGTGAGTTATAGCGTTTGTTATAGAGCTGCTGTTGAAATTAAGTATATCGTAAAGTTGTATTCTGAAAGAATAAACCAGTTTTATTTAAGAAAGGACTTGTGTCGCTAAAGTTTTGTCGGAACGAATTTACGGAATATTAACGAACGAACGGAGACGTAACAGCACGTTATGCTCAAGTTCAAAAGCTAGAAAAGAAAGTTGTACAAGTTTTACTTTTCCTACATGTTAGGTACTTTCTTGTAAACCCTATTTTTCATCTGAGAATAAATCCCAGGACATTTTGCATGCTAGATAAGTAATCTACCAACTGAGCTAAAGGTTAACCCACTAGCAATGCTAGTAAGATACTTCTAACTACTCAAAATACCTAAAGTTTTCCTTCTTACAAACCTTCTTACCTTTGGGCTTTATCTTAGAGGCGTGGAATAGATCATAGTTGGGCGCCTTTTTATTTTTATTATTATTTTCTTTGTAGTAAGACAAGTTTTTGGACCTCCTGGGCTTGGTCATTGTACTCAGGGTTTCTCACTTGCCAAGCAATTGCTCTACCAACTGAGTTAAAAGGAAAACTTTCTAGGGCTTATAAGGCTAAAAATCGGGTTCCAATGCCCGTGAGGGGCAATCCAAAAATAGTCCATTGTATAGCTGTGCGCTTAACACCAAACAAACAAAATGTATTTCATAATATATATTCTTTTAAGTACTATCGATTTCGTTAAAATCGGATAGTGTACATGTTTCACTAAATGTATTTCAAGTTGCCCTTGTGCATTTACAATAGTCGAATGTGATAGTATTTTCAGGAATTTAAATTTCAATTGTGTAGTTGAAAAGGAACGGGGAGAAGTGTCCTTATTGTTCTATAATGTAGCGTGAAAGAGCAAAGGCCAGTAGACTTTGGAAAATAGATAATTTTATAGTTCAGATGGCAGCACCGTATGATCATGGAAAGAGGCGATATATCAGATATCTGTAAAAGCACGTTGCTTAACCTTGTAGTATAAATCAGACTTAATCACTTAATGAAATAACTCTACGTTTCTATAACTAAGTAAGTGGTTTTTAAAAATATATTTTGTAAGTTTTACAGGTATTCTGAAATTTTTTTTATGAAAAACTTCCACATAACGGTGTTAGAAAGTTGAGACAAATTTATTTAGCTAACTTAATAACTATCACATTTTTCATGCTATATGAACATTAAATTAAACATAAAATGATAAAGTTACAGTTACTGAAATTATTACTATTACTACTAGTGTAAAGCCTAAAGGATAAAGTCAGATATAAGTACTATGGATATAAGCAGACAGACAGAATGGAAAATGTACAATACAATAGCAAGTCGAAAAATTAAGAAATCAAAAGTGGCTTAAAATTTAAAAGAAATAGCTGAGTGGTTTTGTTTTAACTTCAGTTAAACTTAAACTAAAGTTTTAACAAAGGAATAGGTTAAACAATAAATATCAAAATGGGGTTTGTGCCATTATGTTAAATTTAAATGGTACTGAAGGCAGGGTTTTTGATGAAGACTTTGAGATGCTTAGTGTTTAAATATCCTTCTATACTTTTACAAAAAAAGATAACACTAACAGTATTCTTGAGGTTTTTGTGACGTCACAGTCATGATTTTGCCTGGTAATGCGATTGTAATCTTGACAAAGGGGCAAACAATAGCGAAGCGAGTACAGCTACATGTACATAATTTATATAGTTCTACCGTGTATACGTGTTACTGCTGAAGCTGTTGTCAAATTCTTCAATTATTGTTTGATAGTCAAATTATCAATTTCAAAGTCTCGTCAATACAGGGAGAAGTTGCCAGCCGAGGCATTAGCGAGATGTGGAGTAGTTACAATTACGTGGGCTTTATTCTTGCCCATGCCAGCACCCTGCTGACTTGTGGATCAACGACCTGACATAATGGCCCAGTATGCAGTACCCAGATATGTACAATTACCTTGTGTTAAAAAGAAATCGGAAGACAACATCCACATGATATAAAAAGAGCTGAAGACACATCGTTATAGTTAGATTTTGATAGCTTTCAACCACAACACTCTTCTCTCCGATCATTTGTTTGTTCGATTCTTGTACTTGGATTTATAGATTCCTGCCCGGCCTTGTAAAGGCCCATTTGTTGGAGTAGTTTTTTGATGGACCTGGCTGACCTTAGCTTCTTTCCTTTTCAGTAGCTTGACTGGGTATCAAATAGAATGAAAGTTCAAGTCTTTTCAACTTGTTATTATTGCAATTCAATACACAACAACTCTACACCATATTTGCAGGTTTGGAACAATAAAAGTTCATCACAAATGCAAATGGTCATTACGACTATGAGTCTAGCCTGGGCAAATGTGCAGAATGAATGAAATATCCCCTACGTCATGCTATCTGTTTGCTCCTTTGCCTCGATTGGTATGTGGACATTGCATTGTGGGAGGGCAAAGTTCCTGGATGTCTAACCTCAAGAATTCTTGCCCCTGAGCATTCTATGGGAAATATTAAGATTGATCTGAATTATGTGGATACTAATCTCTTGGTGATAAGCTTTCCCTAGTGTCTTAAAAGTAAAAGGTCAACTCAAAAATCAAATAAATTAGCACTATTCATTTTTGGTAGGTGAACACGCAATGGAAACTTAAAGGTTGAATTGCTTATGTTTTTCCTATTTTTAAATTTAAAGGGAATGATAACACTAACAGTTGTCTAGGAAATATACATATATATAATAATATAGGCCAGTTGTGTTTCTGTAGTTGAAAAAGATAGAGTGATAAAGAAGTCCTGCAAAATCATTTAATGAAATATATAAAGCCATTATCAAGTTAGTTAGTCTTAGACTCTGAAAAAACGTAATTGTACATTACACATTAATTGGGTTGGAATTCTTACATTAACATAGCACATGAACCCTGGTATTTGGCAGAAGGCCTCACTGGCACTTAAATTAGCAGGTATAGTGCGGTGTATATATTGTTATACATTCTTCTTTTCTTTCACTCGCAAGTTCTTCGAATATACATGATCCATGTTGCAGGTAATAGTGTTAAACTCTAGAAGAGCATCAGGAAGTACTGCTGAGTTCAATATGCTTTACCTTTGCATTTTTTGTCCATTATTTTTTGAAATGAATAATTCAAATTTAGATATTTGTTAGTTTTATAATAGATATGGTGTATAAAGTAGTTTGGACAATGATTTTTGTGCATAATAGTTATCTAACCGCAAGATGTCATTACTACAATGAATGATATATGCAGAATATTCCAAACTGTTCATTTTATGTTTTTAGTAATAAAGAAACATCTAAGGATTATGTAATTTAAGTCTGTCATGATGCTTGTAATTCTCCTGATATACAGTGAAGGTTAAACCTCTAAGAAGAACTGAACAGACCTAATCATATCGAATGTAGTTTACACTCTTACTTAAACTTTAATTACAAAGTTTTACAATAATTATGAAACCCACACTATATATATTTATTTACTTTAAACAGGAGTCAACAAAACTGAAGATTGTAAGCAGTTACCCGAAAAGTAATATGCAGTTACAGCCTGTGACGTAAGAATAAATTTTTCAGTTTTAGTTAGTGCTGAGAGTTATAAGCCTACTCATATTAACTTAAATTGTTATTCGAGAGATTTGTGATGTGTGTATATTGTGGCAAAATTAATACATCTTTAGTTGGGTATATTCATGTTTAATTTACAATATTCTGTATAGCTTAGCTACATTTTTTTTTCATCCTACCTAAATAGCTAGTACCCAGTGTGGAATGTGCTTTTTTCTGTTTTATGTTTTTCTCTAGCACAGCAGAATTTTAGTAACTGAGGAAATTTGTTTCTACTTATACAACTTCTGTGTTACACAATTGTCTTGCTTTTCTTGGCAATTTGAATGGTGTAGGTGCTCGAAAACCTCGAAGGCTAATAATTGTTTTTTAAATCAAGGCCTTGAAAATCTGTAAAAGTGTCTATTTTGCTGCCAGTGTTCTTAGAAATGTCATTGAAAATGGTAATTCCTAGTAAAATTGGACGAATTTGTTTTTTAATATTGTTTAATCCTAGTGTATTTTGTATACGACTCGTCACATGTTGGGGATCTTTTTAGTGCATCTGACATAACTCATATTTTGTCATCTTTATTTCCTTTAAACAATTAAATCCTAAATACAGATAAATGGCATTAAAAAGAAATTTGTATTAAGAGTTGTAAAGTTTAACTTCACCATCAGTTTACATAAATGCATATTAAAATTTAACTTGTATCTTTAAATTTCTAAAGGTGATTCCTGAAACATTGAAAAAAGGAATTCTGACTTGGGATTTTGTCTCTCCCAGTGATAGGGTATCATGTGAAAGTTGAAAGATGTTAGTTTTCTGTAGGAATATCTAGGATTGTGTGAATTAAGAGTCTGTGATGATGATCTTAATTCTCCCGATATAAAGTGAAGGTGAAACCTCTAAGAAGAACTGAACAGACCAACACAATCATCTTGAATGTATTTTACACTTTTATGCAAACTTTGAAAAGTGGTTTGATAATTAATGAAACCCACACAATATATGTATATTTATTTTATAAATCTATTAGAGATTGACCTAAATGATAACTAAATAACTATATATCCTTAAATTTTGTTACTGTTGTGCACTGTTGTAAACTCGGGTCTCTCATTCTCGTCCTCATTGAGCTCAACTATCCAGTTATTATCTTGCTTCTAATTTACTATTCTATGATAATATAATAATCTCCAAACTATTTTGAAATTATCTGCTCCATTTGCCAGTGATTGCAAGAACCTCTTCAAATGTTATGTTTCAGGTACCTTATCTTGCCTGTGTGTACTATTGGTTTTTAAACTTTAGTTTAAGACTTTATAAAAAATGTTGAAAGTTATCAAACACTAACAAACACGTTTTTTATATTAGAGATGTTCAAGATAAAGCCTTTGATTTCTTCATGCTGTATTCTGAAGACAAGTATAATGTTTGGCTAATCACTTTATGGAATAAGTTGTTGTTGGCAACAATATGAAAGCTGCAGTAATCTTGCAAGACTGTGAAAAGGGGATTGATGACTTCCTGAAAAGTAAAAAGTACGTTTAATTTTCTTCTATTTATTGGTGTGAAGGAACAACCTTGAAGGACTAAGTGGTACTTTGTTGTTTGTGTTATGCTGTATTTGATGTAATTGTTAATAGACACTGAGCATGAATTTAATATTATAGCTAATACAGCCTTTACAAATTGTTATATATTATGCAATATGAAATTTTAAGTTATGAATTACTAGCAAAAACACTGCCCTATGGGTAGCTGTTTGGTCAGGATCTTGGCTGAGGTGAATGGTGTGTGTTTCACAAAGTTTCTCCTCACTTCTAACTGCAACTTGGCAAGCAATGCGATGTACTTCTGTATTTTGGGTTTGTTTCTGGCTTCTCACTTGATCTTGCCTTATAACTTGGTAAGCAAGGCTTTCTCTTTCTTGCATCCACATTTTATTTTATTTTGCAAAGTTTCACACTTTCTCTGTGATAAGTCATATTTTTAATGTTTTTGATCACTTTATACTTATACTGAAGTAAAAAATACTTGGGTAACTTACGAAGATCGAGTTAGTACAAAATTCCTGCAAATTTGTTTGAAATGAAGTACTTTCAATTCCTTCTATCACAGAACAATTTATTTTATAGAGTACGCTTGGATTCTCCAGTAGAAAAGTCACTTTTCTTCTGAAATATCACAATGATTCTCATTTTGATGGTTAGGCTAAAAAGATATCAAACAAAAATTATGGAACAACTGCCATCTCATAACTGACTGTAGGTTGTGAATGGCCGTATAAATGTGGGATGTTGTAGGCTTGTGCACCCATATGTGCTCCATAACATGTTCTTTATTTATTTGTAACATTTTATTGGTAGAAAGATGTTCATATTTTTACACTTAACGTTAAATGTGGTGAAAGGTTTTTTTTCAACTGATGAGTAAGAATGATTTCTGCTGCTAATACCACTGAATCCAGGATAAATCTTATAGATTCTCGCACTATTATATAACTTGTTTCCTTGAGTTTTATAGTTATTTTTTCATTGGTTAATGGATTAATTTGTTGTGGTTTTTATTGGTGGTTTGTTCTCCTTTGGTGGTTATTAACGGATTAGATAAAGGAAAATGTTTCATTTAATCATTGGGAGTGTAAGTTTAAATATTATCCTTGTTTGCTCTATCTGGAAAAAGATGTCTGTGATGATGATGAATTTGATTTTCCTGATATGTAATGGAGGTGAAACCTCTAAGAAGAACTGAACAGATTTGAACCTAGTCTATACTGTTTCAATGATTTTATTCTTAAGAGCTCCATGGTGGTGTTTTACTTAATTTTTAAGGAAATCTCACGTTGAATAAGTAATCTTTATTTTAATTTGTGCACTGGTTACTGTCAGGCTTTTTTAGTGGATGTTGTGTGTTTTCTAATTTCAAAGTATGTCATACTTAAGTTTATAAGTTAGTCATTGCTGCTTATTTCAATGTCTACTATGTGGTACTTTAACAGTGTAACTGAACAGTGCTATCATTACTAATTGCTCTTACTAATTGTCTTTTTTTTTCTTATAGATGAAGATCAAGACTCAAACAATGAAGTTAAATTCAACCTCGAGTGAAGGTGACAAACTTTTTTTTCTATTAGTTGATTACAGTTTCCCAATAAACTAACTATACATGTTTGTGTCTATATATATATATATGTATTTATTTATTTCACTCATAGATGCACATTGCCAGACAACAGTTCATTATATTGTAATTTCAGAAAATTAGTGTTTTAAAGCTTGTTGTTGTTTTATACAAAATATATTACTCTTGTTTAACTGAAGTTATTTTTGAATATTATGAAAAAAGAAACATTTATAAATTTAGCATTAAGTTCAAAATATATTTAGGGTGATATTTCTATTTCTAGGCTTACATCTAGAATTAAGTACTCATATTTTAAAGGGCTATCAACAAGAAAATCAAGCCATTTTACAATGATATCAATTAAAAGTAAATCTTTCATACTTAATTTTGCACAACTTTACAAAATTCTTGAAAGTTTATTAAATAAATAAATATGATGTTGAATCAGCAAAAATCCACAGTGCTGTTCTCATTCACGTGATGCGAGAGGAAAAGCAGAGTGCTGTTTTGTGAGGGAGACAGGTTTCAGTGGGGTACTGGTGAAAGGCTAAATCAGTAGTTTTAAAATGAAAATGTCTGAGGAATTGGATGTGAAGTGCTGTAAACATAATTATTTCTAAATAAACTGATAAAACACGAGGAAATGTGGTTGGGGTAGAACCCTCTTTTAATTAACCTTTTTTTTCCTCACTTTTATATCAAATTCTGACAATAACCAACTCCTCACTTCAAAACAATCTAGAGTAAAACGTTCACTGCACAAAACAGAATGTTGCATTAGGCCAGTCCATTGTACTCTCATTCTTTTCACTTGTTGTGTCCACCGAGTCTTTCACTTTTTGGAAAATATATAGAATCTCGTTATCCTTATAAGTGTTACTACACATCACTTCCCCATGACATATAATAATCAGCAAATTACAACGTATTTGAAACAAATTCACAAACTAAAACAATTTTATCAAAGCAAAAAGAAATATGAAGCTTTGGACGAGTCTCTCTACTGATGTCACATCCGGCTTCATCAAAACAAAGTCAGGGTTGGTGAATTTTTACGGTGTGTTATTTGAAAAATAAATTATCTTGCACATGATACGATTAATTCTAGGGAAGCAAACTCTATAAATAATTTTTTATGCATTATAAGGTGGGTTGTTGGCCTGTCAGTTGCACTTTAAGAATATATATATATATATATATATATATATATA